CTGGAGCAGATCCCAATCTGCAGCCCGGGAAGGACCCCACGCTGGAGCAGGGGGAAGCCCGAAGGAGGCTGGGACCCTGTGGTAAACCCACGGTGAAGCAGGCTTCTGGCAGGTCCTGTGGCCCCTGAGGACGCCAGGCTGGAGCAGGGAGGAGTGTGAGGAGTCCTCTCCCTGAGGAGGAAGGAGCGGCAGAGACAACGTGTAATGAACTGACCCCACCCCACATTCCCTGTCCCCCTGCGCCACTCCAGGGGAGGAGGTAGAGAAATTCAGGAGTAAAGTTAAGCCCGGGAAGAAGGGAGAGGTGGGATGAAGGTATTTTAATATTAGGTTTTATTTCTCATTATCCTACTCTGATTTGATGGGTAATAAATTAATTTTTTCCCAAAGTTGAGTCTGTTTTGCCCATAACAGTAGTTGCTGAGTGATCTCCCTGTCCTTATCTCAACCCACAAGCCTTTTGTTTTATTTTTCTCTCCCCTATCCAGCTGAGGAGAGGGGTGATAGAGTGGCTTTAGTGGGTGGCTGGCGTCCAGCCAGGGTCAACCGACCACAATAGAATACCCATTAGGTGTTTGTTCCTGATGTACGTCTTCCTGTTTCGTTTCATCCAAAAGGAATGTAGTTTCTGTGCCCTGAGACTGTTCTGTCCTGTGATCTACAGTATGATAGGTAATAGTGGAATTGACTGGGAGTTCTGCTTCACAAATGTGCTCTTGATCGAAACTAGAGAGTTATTTTAGACACAGCCTTTGAGGCCAGCATAGAAAAGTCAGATTATGCAGGTGACTTGATCCTGTGTATCTTGCCAGTCTTCTTACAGAAGCAGCAATCTAGATCTTGAAAGAATAGAAATTGCATTAAAGTTATGTGAGTTATGAATGTAAAATTTAAGTAGAAGAGTAGTGCTGTTGAGAATGGAAATAGCAAGAGGACAAAAAGAACATGCTATCTTTCCTTAAGGTACAGCTTATCTTGTTTTTTTCACTGCTCTGCAGTTTCGTTTCTGAATGAGTAAAAGCTACTACTGTATTTTACTTTGAAGTAAGAACATGTAGGGGGTGGGTGTGTATGCCAGTACTGAAGCAACCGAACATTTATGTCACTTACTAATCTTGAAGTGCTTCTGATGTTTCTGATGGGATCATTAAGGTTTTTTTCTTACACTGTGAAACTGCAGATGTTTAATGAAATATGTAACTGATGCATCATATGCTGTAAAAATAGCTAAGGAACAGGACTTTAGGGCATTTCCTAGTCCATCCATCATCATAAATGTTTACAAAATATATTAGTATTCCTCTGGACTTGCTCTGCTAAGTGATTATTCAAAAATTAACAAATAGTGGACTGGAGATACCTGAATTTGTCTAGACTCAAGAATATGAGATGATTATGCCTTTAGGAAGCCCAGAGGCTGCAAGTAGCTTATAGTGGCTTTGAATTTTTTTATTTTTTATTTTTTAAATTTTTATCCTGGGTTTCTCTGGGGAATGAGAAGCCAGTAGTGCAGCCTGGTCAGTTGGACCTTGGACTGCCCTGGGGAGCTGCAGCAGTGCTGAGAGTCTTAATGCTGCATGCTGCAGCTTGCTTTTCATTACTTTTTGTTCTAAGCTTCTTCTGAAAGGCTTGTTGTGCAAGATCTTGGGAAATGGAGCTGTGAGAAAAACATCCCAATGCTGTTTTACAGTGTCTTATGTCAACCAATTGTAGACATTCTGAGACCTCTTACTCTGTTGTTGCCAGCAGTGTTTTACTGTGAGATGAACTTTGGTTTTGAAGCTGGATGGCCGTTTGTGCCTGTTAAAGAGGTCTATGGTGATAAGAAGAAAGATGTCCTGGAAAATAAAAAGACTTTTTGTGGTGTATGTTTAAAACTAAAGCTGAAAATACAACAAAAATCCAGTATAGCTAAAATAATAATATTTAAATTTGCCTTTATGTCATAGTGAAATATGCTTGCACACCATTGTTAGCAAAGGCTGCAGATGGGGAAAATGGTACTTGTGTACTACCTTCTTGATTTAGTGGTTTTGCCAAAGCCACCAGGAGAACTTGATTTTTCTTTCAAATGTTTCTAATCCCTATACCAACCTTTATTTAAGCTTTGAATTAAAAAATAATTCTCTTCTGTCTTCTTTTTCCTAGGGGGATGCAAGTATTTTAAAAGAACAGCTTCGGAAAGCTGAAGATCAGATTCAGGCTAGCAAACAAGAAGCTGTCCTGATGTCAAAAGAGCTGAGTGATGCAGTAAATGTGCGAGATAAGACCATGGCAGATCTTCACAGTGCACGTCTGGAAAATGAAAAATTGAAAAAACAGCTTGCTGATGCTTTAGGGGAACTTAAAAAAGTCACGGCTTTGAAAAATGAACAGGTAAATTGTCAGTATTTAGTACTGAAGTTTATCTGTATTTATAAAATCTGTCAGAGGTAGCTTTGCTAAAGTTGGGGAATAAAATATGTTTCTGGATGATTAGTAGAAATTATTATCAAGTTGTTGTTTGGCACTCAATACTACCTTAGATCAAGTGCATGTCAGCTGATTTGGAAGGTTGGTAAGAAAAAAGTTTCTGCTACTGCTTGCAGCAACTCTCATCCACCCCACATTATTTTCACAGAATAATACAGTATTTATCTATATTATTTTGAATCTTCTACCTGCCTTAATTCTTTTATGTGAGCCACAGTAGCATTAAAAATTCATTCAGGTAAGAAAATTGATTGGTAGAATTTTTTTTATTATAATGTTCTTTCCTCATTGATGGATTCTTGCTTGATTCTTATGAGTCCTTCCAATATTTGTAGTCAAAGTTAATTTACTTTAGTATTTATAAGTACAAAAAATATTAATGTAATGGAAACTATCTTGACTTTCTTCGTCTTGGATAAAAATGTAATGAGCTAGTACGAGTTTCATCATTCTGACTTAAGTGAGCCTTGTACCAGATCTTCCATGACTGCAACTGTATTGGATTAATTCGCTACTAGGATTACTGTAATGATGGAGCAGTTTGAAAAAAATACATGGAGCTGAACGGTAATTAAAATAGTGCAGTAAATATGAAGTAATTAGTACAGCCCTCAAAAGAACTCTTGTATTTAAAATATGCAAGAATTACATGTTTTTTTCTAAGAATTTCAGTTATATACAGTGTCTTTGAAATGCATCCTGAAAGAAGTAGCAGATCATCTGAATGGCTCAAGTTACCATAAGTATCTGAGTACGGCATATATCCAGTTGGTAACTGTAGTTTGCTTAGCTCGTGTATCAGTGTTACAGCTCAACTGAACCACTTCCAATAGAAGTGTAGTGAGTGTGATGGAATACAATTGTGGTCTGTCCATTTTTGCCACATGGCTATGCTTGTCTGTGAGGTAGCTAGAACACCTTCTGGAAGGTGTTCAGACTTTTGGTGTGCATTCAGACTTTCGGCATACATTAATCAGCTCATAGAATAAGAATCTTCTTTACCTGCCTCTGGTATTGTACCAGTGCCTATTTACTCCCTCAGTGTGTACTGCTTGGAATGAAGTTCAACACAGATGCTGCCTCTCTCTCTGCTCTATTACTCTCTTCCTTTCCTTCCCACAAAGAAAATAGGAACTTTTTCTGTACTTACATAAAGCATTATGCTTTCTTTAATTGAAAAAAGGCTTTTTGGGAAATAGTGATATTTGAACAAAAGGGAGAACAATTTCTAATTTTTTTTTTTAAAGGAGAATTCAAACACAGTGGAGCAGGAACTGCGCAGAGAAGTTGAAGATCTGAAGCTTCGTCTGCAAATGGCTGCTGACCATTACAAGGAAAAATTCAAAGAATGTCAAAAACTTCAAAAACAAGTAAACAAGTTTACAGAACAGGCAGTAAGTAGAATGGGAGAAATTGCACTTGCTTTCTGTAACTTCTCAGCAACTGTTTAATTTCCTTCTGTGTGCTTTTAAAAAGGATTAAAACATACGGTTAAGCAATGACTCTTTAATTAACCATTTTCTTCCATAAAGCTAGATTACTTCTATGATTGTGTTTAAATAGTTGTCAAAACCAAGCACAGGATTTATAGTAACTGGTGTATGTAGAAAGCTAACAGAGTTTGGATGAACTTAGAAGCATAACATTGTTCAAGGAAGAATTTTGAAACCGAAGCAGGGAAAAATCCGTAATTGCTACCTCTATTCAGTACCATCACCACCACCAAAAGAAACCCAAACCAAACAAAAAAACCAAACCCACAAAAAAAAAAACCAGCACAAAACAACCAAGCCCAAACCAAAAAGCCCAGACCCAAAAGTGGGGGAAATGAAGAACTTGGAGGAGGACTTCAAAGTGAAGCAGGGAGAAAGTTTCCACAACACAGTACATAGTTGTATTCCATATATATTTTGTATTATCACTCTTCTGAGCTTTGTTCCATAAATGTATGAAGCTTTTGCAATGATGATGTGAGGCTTATGCCACCTGGTAACTGAACCCGTTAAGTGAATTTCAGACAGATTTGAGAGCAGAATTCTTCAGAATTTTGTGAAGATTAGTGACAAAGTCTGAGAGGAGCTCAAACAGGGAAGAGGTATATGAGCAATGGCAAGATGTACAGATGTAAATTCTTAAGAAAAACAGACTTCTGATATCCACAGAACAAATGGGTTAGTTACCCAGCTTTGATCCACAGATCAGTTTAAAAAGTTGTCTTCTCATCCAGAAGGTCAATGGTGAATGAGGTGTAATATCAGAGCCTGTGGCGTTTCATTAAAAATCTTCTACATCTTTGGCTATGTTACACATCTGATAACAAACACTAGACTTTACTACTTTGACACCAGACGTCCAGCACTCATTAGTAATACAGACTCGGATTTTGGTGTAACTAACTGATTGCCTAGAAAATTATATTTTTGTAATAAGTTGCTTAGAAATTACTGTTTCTATGGAAAAATAACCTTGTAAAGTAAGATTATAAAAAAAACAGTCTGAGGCAATTTCAGTGTTAGTAGAATTAAGTGTGTTTTGTATATTTATTATTACCTCCTGTTTTAATGAGTAATTCCATCTAGTCTAATTTTGGAGGAGATGATAGTTGAAGATATATGTTACTTTGTGCTTTGGCTTTCATTTAATTAAATACCAAAACAAAATTTCTTTTCACAAAGAAAATTGCAGGGCATCAACAGAAACTCACAGGTGCATCTAACATTGAGACAGCTGCTGCCATCGTTACAGACAAAAAGTTGTCTGCATCTCCAGGTATCAACAGCTTAAATTTTGTTTATTTGTATCAGCCTGAAAGTGTTGTGTATGTGAAGTAGTCCCTAATAGTATTTATACTATAAAGTAGGTGGAGTTGTTCTGTTCTAGTTAAAGCAATGATTACAAATGTGAAAATTCATCTAAAAATCTTGTGTCGTTTTTCAAGTGGTAAAATTCATAAATAATTTCATGTATCTTTTCAAAACAGTTCAGTTGATATTTGTTAATGTCAATAGGACTGAACTCTCGAATGTCTGCTTTATAGTTAACACAGAGCTGGTTTTGCCAAGGTAATAAACAATTCATTTTAAAAAAAAAAATCCTCCCCCAACTTGTAAATTGTGTACAATAGCAAGGTAATTTTGCAGTCATGTTATAATGACTATTCACTGTAGTGTTCTACTGTAAAATCAAATCCACTGAAAAGTTCTGATTATGTGATGGAAAGGTCAAGTCTATAGACTGTTCTCATGATTTATAGGCAGTAGTGGTTTATTAGGAAATGTTTAATTAGATTATAGTTTTTATGAACTATTAAGTTCTTACAAAACTAATCTTCTAAAACATAAACATAGTAGGTTAAAATTAAGGAAGAAATTCTTCCCGGTGAGGGTGGTGAGGCAGTGGCACAGGTTGCCCAGAGAAGCTGTGGATACCCCCTCCCTGGCAGTGTTCAAGGCCAGGTCGGATGGGGCTTTGAGCAACCTGGTGTGGTGGAAGGTGTCCCTGCCCACGGCAGGGGGGTTGGAACGAGATGATCTTTAAGGTCCCTTCCAACACAAACCATTCTGTGATTCTATTCCTCAGTTTAAGTTGATAAATGCCAGTAAATGCTGTCTAATTTTGTTTGTATTACTTTAGACAGAAAGAATGTGTGAATTATATAGAGACTATAGGTTGTAATTTCTGTCAGTTTCCTCCTGTGTTAAGTAAATACAAGTGTTTCCTAAAACAAATAAAATCCCAGCAAGCTCAGTTATAGTATGTGATGGGATGAAATAGATTGCTGAGGCACCTCATGTTTCTATGGAAGAATAAAACATATAGCATGATATAACATTATATATTCCGGTGTTTACTTTCTTGGGAGCTAAGGGGAGAGATGTCTGTAAATTTTCTTTCTTTGCCTTTTTTTTTTTACGTTGACCTTTGCAGTATGTATGTGTACATTTATGTTTGTCTTCAGTGTGTGAGAGAAGTGAACACAAACATGCCAGTATGACTGCTGGTCTTACCTATCACTAGCCACATGATACTGATTGTCTCTTCACTATTTGCTTGGGTAACATAGAACACTGTTCTTGATGCACTGTCACATTTGGCCTGTCATCTCTCTTATACAAACTTTATTTATGGAACAAAAAAAAAAGAATCAATATTCTTATTTTTTCTTCAATGTTCACAGTTAGCCCCATTTCATCTGACATAGTTTCGGAATTCATGGTAAAGGAGCAAGTACGTGAAATGAATAAAGAAATTGCTGAGAAAACAGAGAAGTATAAGAAATGCAAGCAAATGTTGGCAGTAAGTAAATGGCTGCTTCGGAAAACTGAACAGAAAGTAGCTATAGGTGCTAAGTCTTAAAACCACAAAGCCTACCCAGCTGAGTTGCCTTGCTTGTTTGTGTGATAGACTGCGATTATGGTAGAAATCTTAACATTAGGAAACCCATAAGTCAGCTCTCGATTACCTGTGGTGTTAGAGAGTTCAAAGACCCTTCAGGAAAACACAGATGCAGTAAAACAAATGAACAAAACTACTACTATTTCTATGCTTAAGGTTTTGAATACTTTTTTTTTTGCATTGTATTTTAAGTGTAACTGCTTTTATAAATCAAATACAGCATGTTGCTGTAAGCCAGCTGATGTCTGGAACAAGTAGTGTTTATCTGATAGGCTGTTCAAGTGTACTAACTCCTCCAAATCTGACTGTCCTGGACTTTTACAGTGTTTCAATGTCCAAGTGGATGCTGCCTACTAACTTAGGCTCAGTCAAACATAAAGGCATTTATATGGTTCTTTGGACTAGAGTTGGCATCAGTAGTGCTGTAGCTACAATAGCAATGTCCTTCAAATATTAATATCTGTCAGTCCTAACTTGATTCTCATTTAACCAGTTTGGATGTATGTATGATGATGGATTACTGCATCAGTGATGCTGGTGAGAAGTTGACTGTTGTAAAATTGTTTAAGAAATGCTTTCTGGGTCTTGTCTTGCCTCTGTTCATCTTGTTTCTCTTATTTATCACAATGAGATTATTCTATTTTAAAGTGCTATCCAAGATATAATAACTCTCCTGTAATTCTGCTCATTACTCTGTCTATGGAGAGCCTGCATTAGCTTCTGCTGGCTGTTTCTTCCACAGCAAGGCTTGAGGAAAGTTTTGCCTTTGACCTTCTGGATGAAAGATATTTAGGTTGTAAAAGTTGCGTGGGGAGAGGTTTTGTATTGAAGTGAGACGCTTGAAAGGGTAATCATGATTACAGTGTAGTATTAGGATACAAAGAAACTTGAAACTGTGAAGCTAAAGAGGAATATCAGCTTGTTGAAAACTTGGGCGAGGAAAAACATACGTAGTGAACATCATCTATGCAGTGTTCAGTGGTCCTGTCCTTTTCAAAGTCTTGAGTCAGGCTTGATTTCTTGGGGAAGCCACTTGTAAATGCTCTTGTTCTAAAAGCATGGAGTTACACAGTGTCATTGTTGGAGGCAGGAGGGGAAATCTCTTAAAATTGTAAATATTTCATGCCATGGTATAAACTACTTTAGGACGAGAAGATGAAATGCAGTGTTTATGCTGATGAACTAGCTAAACTGGAGCTGAAGTGGAAAGAACAAGTGAAAATCAATGAAGGGATAAAATTACAGCTAGCAGCAATGGAGGATCAGTATAAAGTAAGTTGCAGATTTTGTTTATGACAATGAATGGTATCCTGTTCCTAACGTAGTTGCTCTTTTCTAATAGTTCAGGTAATGAAGAGTTTTAATGGGGAAAAAACACTAAATGTATTTTTGCTGTAAAGAGAAATTCTGTTTTGCACTTGTAGAAACAACACTATCTTGTAATGCTGCTTTTAAAGTAAGACAGATCTGCTAAGTATATTACCAAATGGCTATCAGTCTTTTAATATTGTGGATTTAGACAAACGTCTAAATGATGTTAATCTTGTATTACAGGGAAAAAAGGGCTAGAGAGTTCCAATTTCCCCTTGGTTACTATAATACTAACAGGAATCTTGATTGACGTGTTTGTCTAAAATCTTCATATTGCATGCTGCATTACTAGTGTAGTAATATCTAATGCATTTTATCTGAATGAACTAGAGAGATACAAGATGAGTGATACGTTGTTTTTAAAATCGTCATGAGAGAATTACTTTAATTTGGAGGATCTCAACTATCATCTTAGTAGAGTGATGTAACACATGCACCAGAAAGTCAAGCATAATGGGCAGCTTTAGCTTACAAGTGGCATTAATCTTTGAGGTTATGTGATAGTAATACATACGCTGAAGTGGTGTTTTAGGTCAACAAGGACAAGATAAGAGCAACAAATTTCCTTAAGACCAGCTTTTATACTTGTTCTCAGTCTAATGGTGATAGTGTAGTTGACAGGATAGAATACTCTGTTGCCGATTTTACCCATTATGATGAACAGGGATTAAATGGAACTGTTACTGTATCAGTTCTAGTAGGACCCCCCCCCCCTCTATTAGAAATTACAGCACTTTTTCTCTGTAAAATACTGAATTATCCTAAAACTCATTTCAGCACTCTGTAGGCTGTCCTTTTTCGACAGTTTTGAAAGCTCTAATTTCAATTTTATAAAATGCATGACTCCAATTTATTTAACTTTACTAATTAGCATTGATCAGTTGCCATGCTTAGTGTAAAATAAATTTGTTTCTAACTTCTCAGCAGCAGGATTAATAAATAATTGGTTCCAAAATTGAAAGCATTTTGACTGCAATTCAAAACTTATTCAGGAGGGTGCAGGTGGTGGAGAAAAAGTGAGGTTTTCTTCCCAGTTGGTAGATTTCTCTCTGTTGACCTGAACTAGGAGAGGGAATTTCAGAATTGCAGAAAATTGATATGTAACTATGCAGAGCATTAAGCTTGTATGCTAGAAAAACAAGTGAAGAGGCAGTCTCCAAAGTAACTAGAATCCAAATAAAATAGCCCTTTGTAGAGAAAGATTATTTTAAAAATCATTCTGAAGCAAGGAGGAAACCTGGAAGAATTGTGCAATGTGTCAGATGCATCTCCTCCCAGAGCACCCAACAGAGACACAAGGTAGATGTTCGTGAAACAAATTTAGTGTCTTTGAGGTAGAAGGAAGTTTTGGTTCTCTCAGTTTTGTGGTAGGATATAAGAGCTGGAGAGAACTGAATGAAATAAATCACTAAAATGTGAACAGATTCCTTCAGAAATAGAGATGAGGCTTGCAAACCTTGAACTGTTTCTGGGCAATGGTGTCCCTGCTGCCATTAGTATCACTGATACTACTAATTTTTAACCTGGCACTTCATCGTTCCACAACTATTTTCTGAAAACTGGCAAGAAAAGACTGCTAATGTACTGCTGTTACCCAGTAGATAAACTTAGGGAGAATTGTTGGTTTTGATTTGCAGTAGTACTGGATGTGGCATGTGACTATAATAGGCAAAATGATTTCCATCTGAAAGCTGAACTTAATCACTGAACTTCATGTTTTCACAATGTAACATGCAGGGAAATAGTTTCTATTCACTAATACAGAAACCTTGAACTTCTTTTCATATAGGTTCAGCTGGCAGAAAAAGAGAGACGAATAAAGGAACTGGCATCACAGCTGGAACACTTTACCAGTGAGAAGGTATTGTGAGGATTCTTGTTAAATTTTGTAAACTAACACTTAGGAGGTTCTTTGGTTTGAGGAATTGCAATTTATTTTTAAGCAAAAATTTGTTTACTCTTTAAACATACTTTTCCATATTTGCATATTCTGCCAAAATGAATTAGCATTTTAAACTACAAGTTCTGTTAATAATACTAATACATTTTTTAAAAAAGTTCACTGTAGTATACCAACTTGGCCAGACTGACTCAGCCTTTGAAAATACTGTCATTTATTGTTCTGTAATAGTGTTCTGGAATATTTTCTACATATAATCTAACAAAAATATTACAGTGTCAAAAATTATTTCTTTGTTCCTGTCTAGAATGATATCCTATCTAGGGTAAAAAAAAAATTACTTCTGTTTGCAGATGGGGATTACTGTGTGTAAATTGATAATCTGAGATTGCAGATAGCTGTACAATTCACAGAACGTAGGAATTCCTGCCAGTTTTTGTTCTGTATTCCTTTCTCATCTCAACAGCATCACTGTTCTTCTATGCATTTTCAGTGGACTTCAAACCTCCTTCCTGCTTTACCCTTCTTATCTCTTAGTCAGAGAGGTTCAGCCCTGTTGCGTCTAGAGACTGATACCAGTTCAGTGCCTGTGCTGCTTGACCAAATAGAAAAGATTATTGTTGAGCTCATGCTGCAGCCTTTCTGTCTCTAAGGGAGCATCAGTTAACAAAACTTGCAGGAATTTAATTTCTTTGAGACAGACTCTCTCCCTGATACTTTCAGGAGTTCCTGGCTGACAGGCAGCACAATTAGTAAACTGTACTCCCTTTGGAATCCTGGCAAAGACATGAATGGTACATGCCTAGCTTGACAGTTTGGGGTTGTTTTCCCATCGCTGGTTAGGATTATTTTTGCTGTTACTCAGTGCTGTTCTATAACTAGAGATGTAGATATTTCAGGAGTATAGTCTCCAGGTTTTTCATGATGTGTGCATACAACCAAATCCTTTGGACATCTGCAGTTCTCTTATTGACTGCCTGTAATAATAACAGCTTGACATGTGACAGTAGTGACTTCAGTAAACTACAACTGGAAAAATATCTTTACCAGAAAAGATACATACATACAGAACAGTACTCTGACTTTTAAATATGTGATAGAAAATGCTGCTACTTTCAAGAGTTCACTATCTAATCAAATTCATTACCATTGCTGTTAAACCAGACATTCTGAAATATTATTGCTAATGTTGTAATGTTGGAAGTACCTCTAAGGTATTATATGGCAATTAATCAAAGCTAGATTTTACTGAAAAGTGAAATAATAAAATGTCTTTTACATTCAGATAGTATTGCATGATGTTTTGGAAAAGGTAGGATTGCTCCGATTACTTAAAAAATCCAGTATGAACAGATACTTAATAAAACCAGGAATACACGTACTGATAAATTGAAATTAAACTAATTTCAGATTAAGCTAGTTGAGTATTTTGTAAAATTCTAGATTCCCGAGTAGTTGTTGTTTAAATTATATTTTTTTTAACCAAAGATGTATTTTTTAATAATGTTTCTCATGTTCCTCTGATTCAAAAGAAAGCAAAATAAAAGTTGAGTTTTGATGAATCTAGTTTAGCTTGAGGGAGCAATTTTAAACACCACACATAAGAAGGACGACAACTGTAATAATAATGTATGGAGCTTATAAAAGCTTGGAACTTTATCTACCAAATTTATAGATATTTACATTACAAAGAAGAATTAAAGTGCCTTGCTAGACTGGAACCATGATTTAAAAGGTTAAGTGCAGTATAGTAAACAGCTTTTCAATTTATACTCCACTATCAGAGTTTGTTTATAAATGTCACCAAACATAGCATGCAAAAAATGTTCATTTGCTGTCTCTTCAAACTTATAAAATTACTTTGTTTTTATTTTATTTACATACTTATATAGCCTTTGATTATTTTTTTAAAAATCAGTGTCTATTCTAGCCATCCAACTTCTGACTAAGGCTATTTTACAGCACCTTTGTGCAGTCACTCTGATCTACATTCTGTTTTAATCTTATGTGATACTAAAGTATTAATGCCACTGCCTCTCATTCTAAACTGCTTCCATATTGCAGAAGAAATTGATTTTAAAAAGGAAAAATCTTAATTTCACTGATAATTAATTGTTCCTGGTTTGTATTGAGTAAAGATTAATTATTTAGATTTTACACTCACTAAAACTTTAAGATGTAATCCTAACCATTTAACCCTAACCATTTCAATCATGTGTTCAATTTAGTCTATAAATCTAAAGTAACGCTAGCATAGTTTTATATCATATTTGCAAGAGGATATTTTACTTGGAAGGTGTTAAGCAGAAGATGTGTTGTACTGTATTTGAAGTTTTTTCTAAAAGAAAATAAACACTACTGTGTTTACAGCCAGTGCTCCAAAAATGATAACTTTCTGTAAGATACCACTTTTTTTCCTGTTTGAAAATGACTTTATGGTGTTGCTGTTGGAGTCTAAACCTTTTATGTCTGAAACCTGATAGTACATATAATAAATGTATAATTTCTGTCTTTTTTCATTTGAGTGGTGTTTTGTTTTCAGAGTAGTTATTGCTACTTGATTTTTGCATTTTTGTGTTCTAGAGTTTGGGCTGAAGTTTACCTGTTTTTAAGAAAAATATATTGACATGTACCTTTTAATAACTGAGACATTTTACTTCTCTTGTAGTTAAATTGGTAGTTGAAGTCTTAGTAAAACCAAGTTTCAATTTAAAGTCTTTTGGGGAGAAGGCACGCTTCCATCTTTGAGGTTTTTGTTAACATTACATTAGCAAATATTAAACATGAACCCAGAGAACTCAGAAGAAAATGCTAACCAGAGAGAACAAAATGATTGGAAAGCATACCTCTCTTAACAATCTTTATTTTATTATTACTATTATTTTCATTTCTACATCTCAGAATTTTTAACTTGGTTCTGAATTGTAAATGGCATATTCCTTTGGATATTCTTGGCATGCATGCTCTCCCTCCCTTAACCCATTTTATTAAATGGAAGGATGAGAAAGACTTTTCTTTGGGTAAATTACAGCTGATGCACTGACTACACTTCAGTCACTTTAATTACTGTCTTTTAACATATAATGTGGCTTAGAGTTTTAATGGTTTATAAGTTATAAAACCCCTTTATTAGTTTATAATAACTATTATCTTTATGGATTATATGCAAGAATCTAGAATTTTAAGTTTTTTTTTTTTGAAGAGTTCTATATGAGCTTTTCTGAAAGAATTAATTGCCTTTCTGATAAAAATATTTAAAGAACAGGATTAAATAAAGCAGGCCATTTAAACCCCTCAGTAAATCCAGCAATTCTATATTTTGGATAAAAACACGTGAATTTTGGAAGTAAGCCACACACAAACCCTTGCTAAACTGTAAATATATCTTCACCTACTTTATATATGTAAAAAGAAGGAGGAAGAAGGATGAATTAGAACTTTATTCATTAAATTCATAAAGGGCAAATTATTTTTCACAGGAAGTGTAATGACTTTGAAATCTGTGTATAAAGATACAACTTCTTGTGGATTTAAGGTCTACTCACGTGTAATCGGACAAGTGCAGTTTTGTTGCATATGATACTTGCAGTATTTGAAATAAGTAACCTAGTCTGGATTATCTTTGTGAAAAACAGAACTAATTTCTGTTTGTTAATATAAATAGTAAATACCAACCTTGAGTAATAGTTTTACTTCCTAGAATCAATTCTTGGAATTTTTATTCGAAGGTAGAGAATTAATCAGTTTAGCAGTTAGTGCTGAGTTTACATTTGTATGCAGGGGGCCTTTGCGTGACGTGCTAGTGACGTGACGTGCTAGTGACGTGACGTGACCACCATACCTAGATTATAGTACAGAATGATAGAGCAAACTGTCTTCAATCTGACCCATTTTAAAATTTTTGTTATCCCAGTGTTTACCTAAATTCTGTTGATGTAAAGTATTTGTAATGTGGCCTCCTACAGCTGTCCATCAAGTTAAAAGTCTTGCCTGGAATTTTGGTAGAATTGTCACACCCGCTGTAGCCCATTGTGGCCTTGATGGGAGAAACCTTTTCTCACTTTTTTTAATTCAGAAGGTGTTGTTGGGTATGCAGCATTTTCCTAGCCTGTTATTTTGACTATGAGCCTCCACTGCATTTATCAGGAGTTATTTGTAATGCTTTCAGGATCCTTTCCAGATCTTTCTCTGTCTTCTTTCCTCCCCTCTTCAAATATAATGAATTTATCTGTGAGACCATGCTTCATCATTTTTCTGTTAGGTTTTCAGATATGCATACTTGTGTGCTTCTTTCCATGCTATTTTGTTATGTTTTGGGAGAGAGATTTCCACTGAGTAACAGTATTTTCTTCAGGGTGCTCCTGCAAACTAGCCTTTCCCTTATGCTCACTAAGAAGCTGACAGCTTCATGCTTTAGATGTAGAAACCACTGCTTAACACGTTGACCTGTCTCATTACTTTATTGTTCTCTTTTTTTTTCCCCATCCCTTTGATTTGCATTTAGATTGTAATGTTTTCTAGAGTACAGTCTCTCTTTTTTGAATGTAAGAACAAAAAGTACCAACTGGATTGTGGACTCTGCTTTACAGTGCAGCTCGAAAGTGTTCTCGTATCTTCAGTCATTGCAAGCCACAAACAGCTTCTCAACATTGTAGATAATACTGTATATTAATTGAAAAAAAAATCCATTTTTCTTCTTTCTGTTGACAAAAAGGAGCAACATGCAAAAACTTCAGCTGTGGTAGCAGTGACTAGGACAAGGAAGTTTTTGGCTAGACTTGGTATAATGGTAATAGAAATATTTTGACATAATAATAACAACTAAAAAAACCCCTAATAATTACAAGTGGAACATGATCACCAAGCAGAATCACAGACAAGGACAAAATTGTTTCAACCAGTTTAACATATTTCATCGCATATTTAAAAAATGGATTTTTAAAGGAACTGAGAACAAGGAAAAGTAATGTATCTTTGCCTCTGTAGGTGTAGTTTTAGGTGAGTCTGATAGGATCTCTGCATTTGAACAAAGTAATTCTCTTCCGGTTTTAAACACAGCTAACACATCTGCAAATAATGTACAGAGCTTAACATGCATACATGACTGTGCATGCAAGTAAGGGTAACTCTAAGGATGTTACATTGTAGAGAACACGTGAGACTGCTTCTGAATTCTCTGTGCTGGTTTCTTTCCTTGTCTGTGTGTGCATGTGAAGGACATTGAGCAAAAGTTTGTTCTCACATTCTTCCATTTCCTACTGAAAGTGACAGCCTTGAGCTCAGCTTAGCTAAGTTACACTTCATGTAGGTCAACATTCTGCTGTTAGATATCAGAAAGAATCCAGTGCAATGGACTTAATAGTTCTTAAAATATCTGCCACTCCTGAATTCATAGGGAATTATGTCAAGTATGTACATATATGCACTTCACATACTAAAATGGTACGTTCTTGAATGGTATGGTATGACATGAAAAAAAGAGTTATTTTATTTTTAATTGTAACTTCTAAAAAATGTTCTCGCTGCACGTTATCGTTAGTTGTTATTGTTGGTCCACCCATTCTTTACCTGTTTAACTGATTTTTTTTTTTCATTGTAAAGAGGATGCAGATATTTCTTGAAAAATCTGGCAGTTCTATTTATGTAATTTGAATTAACTGATCACAAGAGAAAAAAAGTCTTTAAGATATCTTCTTTGTATTTTTTTCATTGACTGTTTTTGGTATGGTATATTTGGCACTATATCAAGATGAAAAGATAGTGGGAAGGATAGCAGATGTATTTTTAAAACAAAAAATATTGCATAAAAATTTCAAGCTTTGCTAGAACTCCATAGGTTAATGATGTTTTAAACTTTGCATTATTTTAGGAACTTGGCAGGACACCAGGAAATCAAGCTGGAAGGATGATGGAAGGACAGATTTCACAACAGACATTACATTTTCGCAACCCATATTCGGAGGAAAATGGCCCAGTTCCTGCAGTGCCAAGTCGACTACCAGTATTGCAATATGGAAACCCTTATGCAATTCAGGAAAGAAGAGGTAACTAAATTCCACCCCACCCCACCTCCCAATATAATTTCTCTCTCTGTTTCAAAAGCAATGGTTCATTTAATGCAGGTTAAGTACCAACAATTTCTATACTGGTGTACAGAGACTTTATTGATTGATGAGAATCAATAAAATGCCTTTATCTTACTGATGAGAATCAATAAGGTAAACAAAGTTTTAGAGAAACACCTTTTGAAAAAGGTGATCTCTATTGTTTTATATTATCTAAACAAAAAATGTGTTTAAGTCTTGATTTTTAAATGTAAGCTAGCACATCTGTAATTTCGAAATACCAACTCTACTGAACAAAGATGCTCTATTTAATTTTTCTTCAGATGGAGCAGATGGCGCTTTTAATCCTGATGAAATCCAAAGACCACCTGTTAGAACTTCCTTTTGGGAGCCAGAAGATGATGTAGTGTGTAGTCAGCCTTCACGCAATCTTAGTCGGCCTGACGGCTTAGAAGATCCTGAGGATAGCAACGCAAGTTACCTTTTTAATTAATTTTTTTTTCCTTGATATGTTTGCTAATGGGTAATCAAGAGTTGCACATGGGTTTTCAGTATCTGATAAGCCTGACTTATTGTTATGTAAATCCAGAATTTATTTTTCTTTTCCCTGAACAACATTTTAGATGAATTTTGGTTGCCTTGAAGGAGAAAGCTCTGCATATCAGTTGATGATAATATACTTGTTCCCCCAGTGTCTTGAATTACTGACAGCTTGTTTTTGGTATTAGGACAGTAGCTTCTTAATCATTTGAAGTAGAAAAATTCAAGTAATCTCAAGTCATTCTGATTTTTCTCTCCTGTGTGGTAGAATGAGGGCTCAAAATGTAGCCACATCTTAGGCATTTTATAGTTTGTATGTAGGGACTAAATTGTAATAGAACTAATAAAAATTTAAAGGGTTCTGGTACCGGTATTTTCAGTTAAATGCTGAATGAAAATTTGTGTCATACTAGATTTAAGGTATTAATCTTTTTTCTGTGTTTTGCAAATCTATATTTATTAATTTCCATTTTGAATGTTTTTTGCTGTTAGACATGTATTTGAAAGAGCTAATTGACTATTATCTAAAGCTGATTAAGCTGAAAGTGACAGATTCTCACTGATTTCTTTTTTAGGGCTTTTTTTCAAGTGGAAACTGGTTAGCTTTTCTTTTTGGGTACAGTTAACTTGCACGTTCTAGCATAAAAAATTGGCTTCTGTACTAAACTGGCCTGTATGTCTTCATTTGAACAGGAACAGACTTGTTATTCTTTCTTATTCTAAGTACTCTTGCACCTTCAAAAATATTAAACAAGAAATACCTTTCTGCAAAGTATTGTGCTCTTTGCAAGTACAGTGGTATCATGACCTGTTTCTCATTTAGTCTAGTTTGCCACATTTAATTGCTATTAACCTTTGCAGAAACTGATCAGTGTTCAGACAGGCATGATTTTAGCCCTGGTGCTCAGCACCTATAATGGAGAAAAATGTATTTCTTCCTCCTACCTTTTGCCCCCAGTGTCCATTACTGTGAATAATTAGAGAAACTGTCAGAACTTTTGCAGCCTGTTCAAGATCTAGAATGCGAGCTTAATGCTATTGCCCACCTTTTCTTCACATTTTGCATATTTAGTCTGATCATTCTTGACGTAGATATTACATATGACAAGCTCTTCTCTTCTTTAGTCATCTGCTTCAGTTTAATTAGCAGGGTGTTCTTTCTGATCTATGTGCTTTGCCCTCTTGCAAACCCAAGAGAAACAGTGCTAGAGTCTTGTGCTCATTTGCTGACACAGCTTGGATTTTTGTAATGAGGTGGAATATAACAGGCTTAAATAAAGTTCAACTTGAGAAAAGGTGCCTTTAAATCAAATAATTTGTATCTTTATTTTTTTACTTTCAAATAAAAGTCAATTGGTTGGTCCTCCCAAAAATAGACTGTATGTGTAATGTACAGATTTACACGGAAATGAGTAGTTGCAAGAATCTTTCTAGAGAGACTTAGTAATATGCCAAAAATAAAACAGTTCTAATGTAGTATTTAAAGAAACAACGAGGGGAAACTTCCATATATATATAGGTAATTAATTATAAAGGAGAGCGTGTTGTTTGTGCAGAAGAAACAGCAAATATAAAATGATGAATGTGAAGAGATTACCTTTTGTTGTACTGCTTTTTAAAATAAGCTGTTCAAGATGTAGTTATCTGCATTTTTAAACCAATAAGATGTAGAGCCTTTTGTTGGAGGAGGATTCCCTCCCAGAAGAAAAGGATTGGTAGTCTTGCTGCTTTGTTTAAAATACTGCCATCGTATGGACTTCTGCCATCTTCCTCCCACGTTCCTATTACTACGTGTTATGTTAGTTTAAGAACTTGAGGGTGTTGTAGTCACTTACACCACTTCATGGCTGTTTTGGTGGTGGTTTACCTAAGGTAAATAATGTAGAAATGCTTGCTTGTGATCAAAGATGACAGATCTAGAGACCCTGGGCCAATATTATGATACATAGGAGAATGAAGTAGAGGTTGTATACACACAACTGTAAATGCACTGCTCAGATATGACAATAGGCTTTTTTCAGTCTATAAGGTGAGAATAGGGAAGCATGTGCACACATGTGAGAAAAGCTTTGTGACTTAGTTCTACAGAATGAAGGCCAGAATCGGGACTTCCTTTCTTTTAGGAAATTCATCTAGCCTAAGGAATAGGTCAGCAAACTATGAGGGGGGCCTAGCAAGTCAAACTTACCTGCTGTAGTTCCTGTTTACATTCATGTGCAGCTGAATAACATCATAAACAGTCTGTGTGATAGAGGAGAAAACTTGAGTGCTTCTCCCAGAACTGTTTTCTGGACAGGGAATTAGGTAGAATTGCTTTAAACCTACAAACCACATCTCTGCAGCTGTTATTACCTTCACCTTCTTTCATTGTAAATGTTGAGTTATGCCGTTTCCAACCACGACATATCTTCCTTAGCACCGGGGAAAGCATCTAGAATTTGTCTTGGTGCATTGTCCATTTGCACATTTCCACTCTACATGTTGATAGTCCTCGAGTTTCAAAGCCTTTGGTTTCATTGGACCATTCCAGCACTTATACAACTCATGCAGCATTATTTGTGCTGTGAATTGACGTTAAGTGGAGTATGCATTTTCTGTTCATCTGGCATTTGTACAAAACAGAATTCTTTTCCAGTTTGTTCAGATTTTTATTTTGCCGCCTTGGCCCCCATTTGTTATTTCTTTCTGGATATTGTTTTTGCTTTCTTCTGCCAACCTCATCCATGTGTGGTAGAGGTGTTAGATACCGACTTCCTACAGGTTTTTTGACAGTTGCTTGCGATAAGAGACAGACCTTAATAAACTCTTGTTCTAACAGGGAGCCAATAGCTAATCAGCCTGAATGTGGCTGCAAACTGGTCACTGATCCAACTAAACAAGAAGAGGACATGAGATCATGCGGGGGAAGAAGTGTTAGGAGGAGTGCAAGACAAATCCAGAGAAATCAGGACTCCTTAGTTCTTTTTTTCATGGTAAAACTTGGTTCTTTTACTTGAACTGAAATTGATCTCTTTAGTGAAATATCTTGGACCTGTCCAAATTGATGCAAACCTTCTGTACAGGAATCCCACGTGTCTTCCTTATTAGCACCCTGGATGGGTGCTAGGGGGTGTACCATTCCCATTCATAGAAGGAAAGGCATCACAGGTGCCCTAAGCTCACTTTAAGAAGATTATCATGCTAAAGTTGTGCATGAATTATTTTCCTGGGGATGCTTCTGTACCTGCAACTAATGATTTCGTCTTCCATTCTGTGGAGTACAGCTGCTATCTTTGTAATCCTCTGCAAAGTCGTTTTGTCTTTCCTACTGGTAAGTTACAAAATTCTCAAGCTTATGATTGAGATGATCCTTCTGCTGAGGCATTTGCTCCTAACATGATCTGAACTTAGTTTCCATATCCCTAAGGAGAACGCTGTTTACTCTTACCCTAAGAGTAGTAGGCTTCCCTTTCTACTTCTCAGTGAAGACGCTTCTGTTACTGGCCATTATCTTGACTAGTGGTATAAGATCAGGTGATGGTGACACTTCTGCTATTCTGAAACTTAGGCTGCCTTTACTGTCTTCATTTACTCTGAGTTGTAGACCAGGTAAGGATATATCTGCAAATGCATCAGAATTTTTGTTTAATGTTGCTATTGTGTTCTGATTTTGTTTCTCCCAAAATTTTGTTCCTTGGGAGTGGGCACTTCCATGTATTTGGTTGATGTGAAAAAACATCCGTTTTGCTTGACTCCAAGACTTTCTGGAATTCTTCATAGCTTTGGCTTTTGGAACTCTTAGTCCAATTAAGCAATGATTTCTGAGAGGGATAAGCTGGTCTGTGTTAATCATGCCGGATGAGAACACACACAGTAGTG